ATAAACAGATGGAAGAACATACCATGTTCATGGATTGGTAGAATCAACATTATTAAAATGTCCATACTACCCAAAGCAATTTATAGATTCAATGCACTCTCCATTAAAATACCAATGGCATATTTCACAGACCTAGAAAGAACTCTCCAAAAATTCATCCAGAATAAAAAATGATCCTGAATAGCCACACAAATCATGAGAAAGAAGAACAAAGTAGGTCGGATCTCAATACCAGAATTCAAGCTGTATTACAAAGCCACTGTTCTCAAAACAGTATGGTACTGGCACAAAAACAGACATATAGACCAATGGGATAGAATAGAGAACCCAGCTATCAACCCAAACCACTATGCTCAATTAATATTTGGCAAAGGAGGCATGAACATACAATGGAGTGAAGACAGTCTCTTCAATAAATGGTGTTGGGAAATTTGGACAGGTACGTGCCAAAAAAAAAACAGAGAGAGAGAGAGAGAGAGAGAGAGAGAGAGAGAGAGAGAGAGAGAAACTAGATCACCAACTTACACCATACTCAAAAATAAACTCAAAATGTATTAAGGACTTAAACATAAGACAGGAAATCATAAAAATACTAGAGGATTCTGCCGGGACCGGTTTGGTTCAGTGGATAGAGCGTCGGCCTGTGGACTGAAAGGTCCCGGGTTCGATTCCGGTCAAGGGCATGTACCTTGGTTGCGGGCACATCCCCAGTGGGGGGTGTGCAGGAGGCACACGTCAATGTTTCTCTCTCATCATCGTTTCTAACTCTCTGTCCCTTTCAATTCCTCTCTCTATAAAATTAATTAAAATATTTTAAAAAAAATATTAGAAGATTCTTAGATATATGCCGAAGCAATTTTTTCACCAATACAGCTCCTAGGGCAATAGAAACTAAAAAGAAAATAAACAAATGGGATTACATAAAAATAAAAACCTTTTTTCACACCAAAAGAAACCATCAACAAAACAACAAGAAAGCCCACTGTATGAGAAAACATATTTGCAAATGGTATCACTGAAAAGGTTTAATCTCTAACATCTACAGGGAACTTATACAACTTAATAAAAGGATGATAAATGATCCAATAAAAACATGGGCAACATATCTAAATAGAATCTTTTCGAAAGAAGACAGGACAGCCAAGAGACATACGAAAACGTGGTCAAAGTCACTAATTATCTGAGATATGCAAATCAAAATGACAATGCGGTACCATCTCATACCTCTCAAAATGGCTATCATCAACAAATCAACAAATAACAAGTGCTGGCGAGGATGCCAAGAAAAAGGAAACCTCATGCAGTGCTGGTGGAAATGCAGACTGGTGCAGCCACTGTGGAGTTTCCTCAAAAAATTAAAAATGGAACTTCCATTTGACCCAATAATCCCACTATATCCCAAGAAACTAGAAACACCAATCAAAAGGATATATGCATCCCTAAGTTCATTGCAGCACAATACACCATAGCTAAGATTTGAAAACAGTCTAAATGCCCATCAGCAGATGATGAGTGAATTAGAAAACTATGGTATATCTATACAATGGAATACTACGCTGCTATAAAAAAGAAGGACTTCTTACCATTTAGATCACCATGAATGGACTTGGAGAGCATTATGTTAAGTGAAATAAGCCAGGCAATAATAGAAAAATACCACATGATCTCACTCATTTATGGAAAATAAAGAACATTATAACCTGCTGAACAAAATGATAGATATAGAGGTAGTATAGCACCGAACAGACTGTCAAATTACAGCAGGAAGACTGGGGAGTGTTGGGAAATGGTGGAAAGAGATCAACCAAAGGACTTGTATATAAGCACAACTAATGGACATAAGACACTTGGGGGGCGGCTGGGCGGGGGAGAGAATGAGGGCATGCAACAGGGGGTAGAAGAGGCTGGGGGAAGGTCAATGTGAGAAAGAAAGGAGATATATGTACTATTATATGTAATACTTTAAACAATAAAAAAATAAAGATCATATAAACCACAAAAAAAAATACAACAGTTCAATTAAAACAAGAGTTGGTTCTTTGATCTTTCAGGGATGCAAACAAGATTGATGAACCTCTAGCTAGGCTCACCAAGAAGCAAAATGAGAGGACCCAAATAAACCAAATTAGAAAGGAAAGAGGCAAAGTCTTGGATTTAGTCCCACAGAAATACAAGGATTGTAAAAAATAGTATGAATAACTCTATTCCAACAAATTGGTCAACATGGAAGAAATGGACATATTCCTATAAAAATATGACCTTTCAAAACTCAACCAGGAAGAATAAAAAAATCTCAATAAGCTGGTAACTATGGAGGAAATTGAAGCAGTAATCAAAAAAACCTTCCAGCAAACAAAAGCCCTGGGCCAGGTGGCTTCACAGGGGAGTTTTACCAAACATTCAAAGAAAAACTAAAACCTATCCTCCTCAGACTATTCCAAAAATTTCAAGAGGAAGGAACACTTCCAAGATCTTTCTATGAAGCCAGAATTACCCTAATCCCAAAACCAGATAAAGACACTGCAAAGAAAGAGAATTATAAGGCAATATCCCTGATTAATATACCATTTCCCCAAAAATAAGACAGTGTCATATTAATTTTTGCTCCCAGAGATGTGCTAGGTCTTATTTTCAGGGGATGTCTTATTTTTCCATGAAGAAGAATACGGAACACATTTATTGTTAAATGAAAATAAAGGAAATTTATTACCTGTATATGGTATGGTAGTACAGTAGTTGTCAACACAAACCAGACAAACTTTGAATGCTACAGTATCAAGAATTTACTCATTTATTCAATGACAATCATGTCATCATCTTCTGGAACATCATCATTACAATCCAATTCTTGAATTTCCTGGTGAATTTCTTGTGACTCTATTTCTTTCAGAATCGGTGGACCAAATCTCTCATGTTTAGCCTAGGGGAGGGCCTTATTTTCGGGGGATGCCTTATATTTCACTCAGAAGGAAACCTGTAAGTAGGTCTTATTTTCGGAGGATGTCTTAGTTTCGGGGAAACACGGTAGATGCTAAAATCCTCAACAAAATCCTAGCAAATTGGACCCAGCATTACATTACACCGTGACCAACTGGGATTTATTCCAGGAATGCAAAGGTGCTACAATATCTGCCAAATTGAGATAAAAATCAGTCATATCATATCAATTGATGGAGAAAAAGCATTTGACAAAATCCAACACCCTTTCTTGCTAAAAAAAAAAAAAAAAAAAAAAAAAAAAAAAACTCAGCAAAGTGGGAATAGAGGAATCATATTTCAACATAATAAAAGCCTTATATGACAAACCTACAACCAACATCAAAGTCAATGGGCAAAAACTATTATAAAACCACTTCCCCTAAGAACAGGAACAAGATAGGGATGCCTACTCTCACCACTCCTGTTCAGTGTATTACAGGAAGTGCTACCCTTAGCTGACTTAAGAAACTAATCATGATGCAGAAATGTTGGATAGATTGACCTATTAAAAACTAAACCGATACATTAAGGCAGCGGTCGTGGACCTCATGGATCACTGGTTGGTGATCACTGCTCCAACTGTTTTCTTAAACCAGTGGTCACCAACTGTTCGGACCTCACAGACCACCTCCTGGACTCTGCAGTGACTTGGCAGATGCAGTTCTTGGGTGATGCAACCGAGAACTGCCCTCACGCAATTCAGGACCCCTCTGGGGATGTCAAGAGAGCCAAAGACCTGCTACTTCAGACCACCAGTTGGTGACCACTGCATTAAGGTATAATATTACACATAAATAGTATAATTTAAAATTGTACCATTTAGAATCCATGACTTCTTATAACCACTTTCAACACCCTTAATTACTGTCTTTCCTGTAAATAGCACCTCTCTGTATTCAGCGTCACAAGTTATTACAGTAAGGTGCATTTTTATATGTTAAACGAACAAAAGGAAATATCAATGTGTGTGAGATTATCACAAGTGTCTCACTCATGCATTGCTGTCATATTCTATATCATGTTTGTTTTTATATAAAATTAATATCCCCAAATACTTAAGTAAAATTGGTGCTCCTGACATTACCCTCTGCACCGTCTGGTGTGAGCATCCTAGCTGAGAAGACATCTAACTTTGCGGTATTAGCAGTATTGAAATAATCAATATGCAATATTGATTATAACACCAAATATTGTGGGTTTCACCATAGTTGATGAGCTGGAAAATTGTCTTTCCCCTGACTCAGTTCCACACCAGGAGTGATATGGTATGGATGCTACTATGTCTATCATCATCACTTGCTTACTATGTGCCAGGTATTATATTAAGAGCATATGGCAGTCAGCTAGTCTACTATCTCAATATACACTGAGTGAACAAATTATTATGATCTCTGAACTCAAAATAATCTGGCCACTCAGAATGTATCCTATTTAATAAAAGGCAATATGCAAATTGTCCCCTCGACCAGCAGGCAGGCTGGCCAACCGCCCATATCCCCTCCCCATGGCCAGGCTGGCCAGATTCCCACCCATGCACAAATTCATGCACCAGGCCTCACACACACACACACACACACACACACACACACACACACACACTGAGTGGCCATATTATTATGTGTTCAGCAATCATAATAATCAGGCCACTCAATGTATATTCTCCACTTTTATAACAAAAGATGATGAAATTTGGACATTGCTGTATCTTTTCTGGGCATAGATTGTATTTTTTCCATTTCTCCAGGAATGAAAACATGAATTCTCAGTAGCATGTGAATCCTTAGTCCACCTCAAACCTCCTCAAGACTTCTTGAAGCGTAGTTGTTAGTCACTTCAATCTACCACATATGCTTTTGAATAACTATTATTAAATTTTACTGGTTTGAAAATGTGCATGTGTGTATTCTCATATTAATGTCCAAAAACAGCACAGGTATGATATTATACAATTAAGTCTACAGTTAAGGGGTATTTACAGGGAAACCCAGTAATATCCAAATTACAGAGAAGAAAAATATTACCTTCATTATAAGAGAACTATTCCAAGATTTTACAAGTTCAATAGCTCTCAGATCTTGCCAACTAATGAAGTTGTGAAAATGATTTCCCGTTTTCCTAAGAAAAATGGAAACATGTTGAAAGTCAATATAAATCATAGACTATCCTATCTAATAAAAGAGTAATATGCAGATTGACCATCACTCTAACACACAAGATGGCTGCCCCCATGTGGACACAAAATGGCCAGCAGGGGAGGGTTGTTGGGAGGGACCAGGCCTGCAAGGGAGGGCAGTTGGGGGTGATCAGGCCAGCAGGGGAGGACAGTTGGGAGGGGCCAGGCCTGCAAGGGAAGACAGTTGAGGCTGATCAAGCCTGCAGGTGAGGCCATTTAGGGGTAACCAGGCTGGCAGAGAAGGGAAGTTGGGGGCAATTTTGCCTGCAGACAAGGGAAGTTGGGGAGAATGCAGGCCTGCAGGGGAGAGGAAGGGCAGTTAGGGGTAATCAGGCTGGTATGGGAGCAGGTAGGCATCAATCTGGCTGTCAGGGGAGCAGTTAGGGGGTGATCAGGCTGGCAGGCAGAAGCAGTTAGGGGCAATCAGAAAGGCAAGTAGGCAAACAGTTGGGAACCAGCAGTCCTGGATTGTGAGAGGGCAGTCGGATATCCCTCGAGGTGTCCCAGATTGGAGAGAGACACAAATTTGTGCACCGGGCCTATAATCTACATATAAAAGCTTAAGCGACCATCTGACCAGTAGCTATGACACACAATGATCACCAGGGGGCAGATGCTGAATTCAGGCGCTGCAGAGCTGCAGTAACTTGGCAGTTGCAGTTCTCGGTGATACACCCAGAACCCGAGAGGAGGGAGCTTGATTCTGGGGTGTGTCACCCGAGAACTGCCCTCTCACAATCCATGACAAAATTAGAGGCCAAACTACTTTCAAAGAAGAATTTACTTAGGTGGGCTTTCCAAATGGTTTCCTCTCTTTGACTTAAAAATTAAAAACACTTTGTAACAATCATTATATGATTCAGAATATGAAATTTTAATCAGATTCTATCCAAAAGGTATTTTTGAAGCACTACAACATGTATATTTCTAAAAAATAAAATAAAACTACTATAATGAAAAGACCTTTAACAACTTGCTTATACATTTTTTATTAATTTATTTTTTAAATAAATCTTTATTGTTGAAAGTATTACATATGTCCCCTCTCCCTACCCATCACCCCATTGATCCCCTCCAGTCCACTCCCACTCCAGCCCCAGGCTTTCACTACCCTATAGTCTTGTGTCCATGGGTTATGCATATATGCATACAAGGTTTTTGGTTGATTACCTCCTCCTCACCCATACTCCCCCTACATTTACACACTTTAAAAGCAAGATAAAGAGGCCAGTGCTTTCCCCCTTTGTTGTACTTACCTTGATGTACACAGATTAACATTTCTGTGCCTTCAGAAGAGCTGAAATAGTGCCTGAGCCCATTTCTACACCTCTCAATTTTAGGACTGATTTAGCCACTGGCAACCTACCAGGCTTACCAAAATTTGACTAATAAAAAGAAATTCAACAAACTCTGGGTCAATACCCTGTTTCCCCGAAAATAAGTCATTGTCTTATATTAATTTTTTCCCCCCAAAGTTGCGCTAGGTCTTATTTTCAGGGGATGTCTTATCTTTCCATGAGCTAGGTCTTATTTTCGGAGGATGTCTTATTTTGGGGGAAACACGGTACTATCATAAAAGTACACAACAAAGAAATAGAGTAGAAGTAAATAATTTTTCCTTTGAGACCCCTGCAAATCAACCACTGACATTTACTCATCTTCAACATCCAACTCAGGTTTGCTTTCTACCCTCTCTCCTGTGTAAATTTATTCATGTTCAATTCTCAAGGCTGTCATTTCCTACTCATATTTAGTAGTCCACAGCCATGGTCACATCCTCAATTGTATTAACTGGAAACATTCGACCACCGAAATTCAAACATTCCAAAACATCAGGCAACACATCTCCCTGTTACAGTCATGGTTGCTTAACAATGGGGATTCATTCTGAAAAAGGCTTCATTAGGTGATTTCACCATTGGCAAACATCAAGTGCACTTAGGCAAACTTAGATATTATAGCCTACTACACACGTAGGTATCATCTATACTCTTCGACTATAAGCCTGTACTACAAAAAGCAAGCTTATATACTATAAGCATAATATACAAAATTGTACAAAACAACACAAGATTAAATAAAGCACAAGAGAAAATGATGCAACTAAGAGATGTGGTAAACAGGAGATGTATGGGGTTGATGCAGGCTAACACAGCACACTCTGTTACAACCAACTTTTTTTACAAGTAGAAAAAGCACACTCAAAAAGTGATAAAATGTATAATACAGTAAGTATACAACACAGAAAAAGTCATTTATTATCATCATCAATATTACATACTGTACATAATTGTATGTGTTATACTTTTATCGGACTGTGATATAGAAGGTTTGTTTCTACCAGTATCACCACAAACACGTGAGGGATGTGTTCTGCTAAGTTGTTATGAAAGCTGCCACCTCATTAAACAATGAAAAATTTTCAGCTCCATTATAATCTTAGGGAACCACCACTGTATACCAGTCTGTTGCTGACCGAAAATCATTATGTGGCACATCACTGTGTTTCAGTTCTATCAATCTTACTCCCTAAATATCTTCCCATCAAACACCCTGTGATCTTTAATCCCTCAAACAAATAATTATACAATGATCTACTTATAACAGTAATCTGTATTATCGAAAGGGTAATATGCTAATTAGACTGGACATTTCCAGTCGTCCTGGACAAGGCTGTGGTGGCTGTAAGGGCTGAGGAGGGCCGGCAGCAGCAGCCTTCCCCTGATCAGCCCGCACAGAGAGGCCAGAAGCAGCAGCAGCAGCAGCAGCAGCAGCAGCAGCAGTGGGGTTATGGGGCAGTGCCTTCCCCTAATCAGCCCTGGTCACCTCTCACAAAGGGAAGCCAGACTGTGGCTTAGGCCCACTCTCAGGGGAAGAGGCCTCAGCTGTTAGGGGAGCAATGAAGGGGGAAAAAATGAGGAACATTTGTAATAATATGAACAATAAAGATTTATTTAAAATAAAATAAAAAGAATCCAGGACAAAAAAAATCAGCAGATAGTCACGGGACTTTAAGAGGCTATTATGGACACAGGGAATCCGAATGGTCAGCATTTTTTAACTGGAATAGATAACAGAGATTGAATCTTTTTTTTTTTTTTCTTTTCTGGGACTCAGGTAAGCTTTCCAGACTCTAATGTGCTCTTAGAATGGGAGATAGCAAAATAATGACTGAAATGTACTGTCCCACCAGCTTGGTAGAAGTATGCTCAGAGTGGGATTTAATTTGGAACAAGATTCATAACCTCTACTCAACATGAAAGGCTCTCTGAAATCCCCTGCCTTCATTCATTCACTCAACAAATATGCACTTTATGTCTAGTATGTTGCTTGGAAACACAAAAGCAAAATAGAATATTTTCTGCTTTTAAGTCATAATAGTGGAAGATACAGGCATATTGCCTCTTCTCTTTTTCAAGTAAGTCTTCCATAACTTCCTTCATCTTAGTTAAAACCCCTTATACACATTTTAAATAACATGTGTTAACAGTGTTAAGTGCTTCCAAGAAGTTCTACATTTGAGCCGAAGCTGGTTTGGCTCAGTGATAGAGCATCGGTCTGCGGACTGAAAGGTCCCAGGTTCGATTCTGGTGAAGGGCATGTACATTGGTTGCGGGCACATCCCCAGTAGGGGGTGTGCAAGAGGCAGCTAGTCAATGTTTCTCTCTCATTGACATTTCTAGCTCTCTATCTATCTCCCTTCTTCTATGTAAAAAAAGAAGTTCTACATTTGAGTTATTTAATTAATTAACTCAGTCACCTCTCCCAACTCCAATAGAATTTAAGTTCCATGAGGGCAGAGATTGTGTCCATTTTTTGAGCAATAAATGTTTGGAGTGTCCATGATGAACTTTTCCTTTTCCCATGTTAATACCTTCTGCTCTGCTCTTCGTAGCTCCTGCCATAGTTTCATAGATCTTGATATCTTGAGAACATTTGGATGGACTTTTGCCTCCAACCCTTTCCTTTACCATTGTTGCAAACTGAATGCCCACCTCAATGGCAACACGTTTACCATCACTCTTGAGGCACAGGTTATGAAGAGCCTTACATTTGTAATTGTTTCTTTTTCTGTAATTGTCTTGTCTCTTCAGCTAGTTAGTATGTACCTCAGTTGACAGGACTATATGTTAAACTAGCCAAAAGTAAGGCACACTTCGTTGGCACTCAACCAGAAAACCTTTGGTGTGTGTATCTCAAGAGCGGATAGATTGTATTCTTTGTGAGAGGCATCTCTGAGTGTACAAACTGTAAGACTATAAGTACATAACAGCCCTAATTAATGCACACTTACTGAATGAACACTGTCTAGAAAACTGAAATAAAGAACTTTCACATCTTTGTCATGCTCATTGCACTATAACTAATAGCAATAGATCAATTTCAACAATTTTTTTTAAATTCCTACTATGTGCCAGAAACTTTTCTAGGCAATTGGGATACATCTGTAAATAGAAGAAAAATCTCTCTTCCCCTGGGCTTTACAATCTACTGACATATGTAAACGATAAACACCAAAAATATAAAAATTAAAAATTTTTATAGAAGAAAAAGAAGAGCAAAGAATAAATGTTTAATAAAAGTTAACCTCTTGCCTGCAAAAAAAAAAAAAAAAAAGTAGGCCATCTCCTAAGGACTCCTGGACTGTGAAAGGGGGCAGGCCTGGCTAAGGGACCCACCACCACTCCCCCCAGTGCACAAGTTTTCATGCACCAGGTCTCTAGTAAGTCCTGTAAAGGAGAAACACTGGTGCCATGTGTATATTTTACAGGAAGATAGATCCTGCCTAATCGGGGGTCAGGAAAAGCTTCTTTGAGAAGTGACTATGGAACTGAGCTCTGAAGGATGAGTCAGAAAAAACAAGAAGGGTGAACATTCCCAACAAAATGTATTATATGTTCCAAATTTCCAAGACAGCATGAAGCATTATATGTTTACAGAT